TTGCAAGGGCTCTATGTTGCAAAGGCTCTATGTTGCAAATGCTCTATGTTGCAAAGGCTCTGTGTTGCAAAGGCTCTATGTTGCAAAGGCTCTATGTTGCAAAGGCTCTATGTTGCAAGGGCTCTATGTTGCAAGGGCTCTATGTTGCAAAGGCTCTGTGTTGCAAAGGCTCTATGTTGCAAGGGCTCTATGTTGCAAGGGCTCTATGTTGCAAAGGCTCTATGTTGCAAAGGCTCTCTGTTGCAAAGGCTCTATGTTGCAAGGGCTCTATGTTGCAAAGGCTCTGTGTTGCAAAGGCTCTATGTTGCAAGGGCTCTATGTTGCAAAGGCTCTATGTTGCAAAGGCTCTATTTTGCAAAGGCTCTATGTTGCAAGGGCTCTATGTTGCAAAGGCTCTGTGTTGCAAAGGCTCTATGTTGCAAAGGGCTCTATGTTGCAAAGGCTCTATGTTGCAAGGGTTCTATGTTGCAAAGGCTCTATGTTGCAAGGGCTCTATGTTGCAAAGGCTCTGTGTTGCAAAGGCTCTATGTTGCAAAGGCTCTATGTTGCAAAGGCTCTGTGTTGCAAAGGCTCTGTGTTGCAAAGGCTCTATGTTGCAAAGGCTCTATGTTGCAAAGGCTCTGTGTTGCAAAGGCTCTGTGTTGCAAAGGCTCTGTGTTGCAAAGGCTCTATGTTGCAAGGGCTCTATGTTGCAAAGGCTCTATTGTTGCAAGGGCTCTGTGTTGCAAAGGCTATTGCAAGGGCTCTATGTTGCAAAGGCTCTGTGTTGCAAAGGCTCTGTGTTGCAAAGGCTCTATGTTGCAAAGGCTCTATGTTGCAAAGGCTCTATGTTGCAAAGGCTCTATGACAAGTTATTTCTAAAAGATCAACACAGAGAGTGGACTGGATATACTGGTTCTTCCTGTATGAGTCTTCATCTCTCTCAGTAAGCATTCAATCTCATATAAGATCAAAAATATTTTACTTTTAAGTTAATTTCAGAACCTGGACTATATTACTTTCACTCTAAATAGGTACGTTTGTACTTTTACTTGAGTAAAGAATTAAACTTCAGTTACCAAACTTTCTGCATTCTGATTTCTAAATAATCTTCTCTAGCTAAAGTCTCTGTTTAACCTTTGTAGTTAGATAAAAAAAATGTTCACTATGTGAAGCAGCTTTCGTTTTCTCCTTTCTCCATCCACCTAAAAAAATACATCTATATTTATTAATAAAGAGATGAAATGTGTTAACCTTTTAAGTGTTTTTTTGCAACATAGCTCAAACTGAATGAGGTTGTGTCAAAATTGGGAGTAGATTCAGGTTCATTTTGTCAACTAGGGGGTGAGGTTTCTTGCAGACCCAAATGCAGAGATGAGTGAAACAGAGATGAGTTCTTGAAGGTTTGATGAAAAACTGGGGCGGACATCCAAAAATCCAAAATAAAAAATAGAAAGAACCACAAAACCAGAAAACATTAGGTAAAACTCATGTGGGGAGCCAGAGACAAGGAAGCAACTAACAACAAGGAACCAGCTAACAGTGACTGAACATGAGGCGTATAAATGGGAGACTGAACAAAGGCCAGGCTAATCAGCAGATTGGGAGCAGGTGTGGACAGAGGAGACTAGAAGGGAGAAAGGGAAAGAGAGACTGACACAAGAGAGCAACAGCAACAAAAGAGCAACAAAATTGAAATTAATACAATAAACTCGAAAACACAGAAAGACATGAACCAAAGTATAACTGAAAACTCAAAAAAGAAAACTTAAACAGAACCAAAAAGTTATATTTGTCCCCGGACATTGGCTGGGCCCTTCAAATCCAGAAATATTTTTATTAAATAAACATTTCTCACTTTTCAACAACTTTAAATGTGTCTCTTCTTTAAAAAAAAGTGTGAATCACATAATAGGACCTTTTTTATTCCATTTGAGTAATGAAGCAAAAGTGAAAGTGTGTGAATTTTTTCTTCATGCGTAATTCTCTTTGTGACATGAAAATGTACACACCTTTTTATGTTTTGGACTTTCTAATGGAGAGGTATATTTTTGTAACTTATTGTGTAGTTCTTTTCCAGAGGGCTGCAGTCCGAAATTGCCAAGCATCATCCATGTACGTGTCTGTCTCATAATAATGGACATGAAAAATGTTACATTCCCGGAAAACATGCAGGTGTCCGAAGCCAGATCAGGAAAACAGATCAGAACAGGAACAGGCAGGCTCAATTGTTAAGAGAAAGAACAGGATTAGATCAACAGAAACACGAAGATACCATAAAAACATTCTCGCCACTGAGATCATACAGGAACATGGAGGTTAAGTGGCTGAGAGGCAGAACAGGTCAGGTAATCAGAAACACCAGGGAAATCTAAAAACACTCTGACCACTGGCTAGAGAGAAAATAATAATCTGCCCTGATGACTGGATGCAGTCAGCTTAAACAGAGGCAGGAGCAGGTGGATCAGATGAGAGCTAATTATAAACCGGGCAGAATTGGACAGGTGAATGAAATGAGGGACTTAACTTTATCTGGGTTGGATTTAAACATAAAATCAAAAAAAGTGTAATCTAGACATTTTAAGTTTTATTTTTTCCTTTTGTGTTAACCTTATGGTATGTAGTGCGTGATCTAAGAAAGAAATAACAAAAATAAAAGATCAACATGGTTTAATCCTATTTTGCCAGACCTCTCTAATCATGTCCGATGATGACGTCAGACACGCAGATTAACGGAGAAATTTAAAAAGCATCAAATTGTATCAGAGAAGTAATAAAAATTGTTTTAAAGATTTTAAATGGCATTTTTAGTGAGTTAAAGGTGTGGTGGAGGATATCTGGTTCCCGGCCGGATCATCATCATAAGTGGTCCTCCTAAATGTCAATCATTCTGGGGATATGTTCACGTAAGGCCAGCCTACGAGCTCGTCCTCATTTTAATCTTAATCTTAATCCTATGCTGAAAAAATACCCGGCTGCCGAGAATTACTTCCTTTCTCGTAACTGATTAGAAAAAAGATTAAAATATGAACGAAAGGGGAACTTTTAAACACATTCTTAATGTTTTCAAATTTCTTATGCATGAATGCCTTAAAATTCAGAGTTTTGGTGATGGGTGCTCCTGCGAACGGAGGTTATTCTCAGCAGGTAAGATTTTCTAAGCATTTATCTATCCACCAAATCTCTCAATTTTAGGACATCCATGCATAAGAAATAGGAAAATATTAAGAATATCTTTGAGTTCCTTTTTCATTCATATTTCAATCTGTTTTCTCATCAGTGTTGCGAGGTGACGTATTTCTCGGCACACAAGAGTCTCGGCCGATAGTCTCGACAATGACAAAAAATAAATATAGATTAACATTGAAATTAATAAAAAATACTAAATAATAACTTTACTGTCTTTTGTAAATGAGATTACAACAAACTTTCCTCTATAGATCATAATACTCATTATTAAAGAGCAATCCTTAAAAATACTGAATTATATATATATATATATATATATATATATATATATATATATATATATATATATATATCGCTATACATATAAATATATATTTATATAATATAATGTTAGAATATATCAATTAATATTTGTTTGTTTTTATCATATTAATATTTAATTTTGAAATATATAACTGTATGTTTATATTTCATCCAGTTTGAGTTCAGTTAAAATCTTATTTATATGTCTAATCTAACTGAAAGGTCCTTTTAAAATTGTTTTGTTCTTTTAAAGGGTTGTGACATGTTGGATATGATGTAATATAATCTTAGACATACCCAGAAGTTCTGGGCGAGGAGGAGGAGTAGCAACAATCTTTCAGTCTGACTTACTGATTACTCCCAAAACAGTTAATACCTACAACTCTTTTGAACATTTAACCCTTAATTTCCCTGATCCAAATTTCAAAGCAAGAAAACCTCTTCTTTTTATAACTTTGTATCGTCCACCAGGTCCTTACTCTGAATTTTTAGATGAGTTTTCAGAGTTCCTTTCACACCAAGCCTGGTTCTGCTGGAGGTTTCTTCCTGTTCAAAGGGAGTTTTTCCTCTCCACTGTCGCTACAAGCATGCTTAGTGTGAGGGATTGCTGAAGAGTCAATGAGTCGATGCAATCAGCTGGTTTTCCTTAGATAGAAAACTTTGAATCCATCTGACTGGATGATCTGGTGAACTGGAAAGTGACCTGAGATGACATGATGGGAATTGGAGCTATAGAAATACACTGAATAGAATTGAACTTATCTTTCTTGTGATTAAAATGAGATCAAAGGCACCTCCTATTCATTCTAAAACCAGCTGTCTGAACCAACATCTGTTTAAATTGTCAAGCAAACAGCACATCTAGAAACAGCCCCCCTCCACCATCGTAGCTAAAGCTTCATCAGAGCGTCATTCCTCCTGGACTCACTGCGTTCCCTGTCTCATCTCAACCGGTCAGCAGCAGACCGCCATGTTGAGCCTGGTTCTGCCAGAGGTTTCTCCTCTGGCAGAACCAGGCAGTTTTTCCTCTCCACTGTCGCTTCATGCTTGCTCATCATGGACAGGTTCTTTCAACCTGTGTTATCCAGCTGGACTTCCATCTTCCAGGTCCCTGAGTGAAGCTCTAGTATCAGCTCACGCAGTCCTCTGGATCTCCCCATAAAGCTCAGCAGACCGTCTCTCCAACCAGCAGTCTACAGACTGACCAACTCCATCTATCTCCACTCCACCACCAGTTTCAGGCCTGGGGGGGAAACAGCCCTGTTCTTTGCTCCTGTTCATGCAGATCAAACTAAATTCAGCGCTATGTTTCCTTCCTGCCGGAGTCTGAGCGCCAAAGACTAAAGAAATTGTATCAATAAATTTCTTGTAATTGTCTTTTTCTTTGTGTGAGTTTTTCAGATTAAAATATTTAGTACTTTGAAACGTGTTTTATGCCTCTTTTCTTTTTTTCTAAACTTTTGACTGATGGAATTATGCTTATGGGTTATCTTTTAGCGTTATTAAGTATAGCAAAAAAAAAAAAAACATTTTATTTCTGTTGTTAACATTTTCTTTATTGTGTGTTTCCAAGTGCTAAAATATAGCAGCACTGAGTATTTACTCTAGAAAATAAGTCATGACAAATCATTACTACAGAATATACAGTTGAGATTTGGAATTTAGTTTATATCCACCATTTACTTTTCTTTTAATATAAATTTAGAATGAGCTCATATGTTTTTTGCGCCGACCATGACGACTTGCAAGTTCCTTCTCTTTATCTCTCTGGACATCTGACACCAAACGCAGGGTAGGCAGAAAGTGACGAAAACACAGTCCCTAGCAATGGAGCCCTGTGGATCAGAGACATTCATTTGGTTAAACTCAACAACATGTGCTTCTGTTGGCCATAACACAAACTAACCACATCATTACGCTGTTTTTTAAACAGACAAAAATAAACAGAGTTAAATTCAAATTTACTCTCAAATTATGATTGTGATTATGATCATTTGACAAGCCAAAAGCCTGAGTAGTTTCACTGCAGTAGAAGTAGAAGGAGGCATCAAAATGACCAGTCTGATAACATAAAAGGTTAAAAAATGCAAAGTAACAAATGCCCTGTTTTAAAGAAAGTGGAAGTGAATAGAGAACATAAATAAACAGAAACAATGGTGAACCCAGCTAGATTCCCAAACATAGACATCATCAACAGCTCATCCAGGAGGTCCTAAAATAGAACAAAACCTAATCCCACTGCAGGTTTGGGATGTTTCGTTTCTTTGCGACGTTGACAATAAATTCTATTCTCTAGCCCAAACTTCTGAAACTATTATTATGTAAAGTATTATGACCTCAGACAGGCCCAAAGACCTAAAGAAAACTGACTGAAATAAAAGAAATTTTGGAGGAAACTCCTCCTAGTTTATATCAAAGCCAATCTCTGTTAGCTGGGCTTTTGTCAATGGCAGCTAAAAACTGCCCAGTTTTCATGTTTTCAAACAGTCCAGGCTGGGTGTTTATTTACTGCTTAATTACTGGGAAAAAAGGCCTCTACAGAGACAAAACTATGATTATCTGAAAGATTTAAATGTAAAAAAGATATACAGTATCAATCTTTAGAAATACCACATTTTGAACAGAATTTAGATCTTAATGGTCACTGAAGGTTAAAAAAAAGAAAAGTTAAACCAAAACTCATCTGAATTAATTAATTAATTTATAAAGTGTTTATGTCTGATAATCCCCTTGATGCCGTACCTCGATTTTGTAGCGCTCTCTCATGCTGGTCCTCATGGACATGGTGATTGGTGAGATCATATATGCAAAGCACTCCAGTAACGGGGTGCAGAGATGCTCCCCATACGCTCTGCTGGTCAAGCAGGCAAAGCAGGGGAGGCACCAGAATGCAAGACAGCCTGAAAGGACAGCAAATACACATAAAAAGTCACCGTGAGCTCAGGGATGGAAATGAGATACATAGAAAAAGAAACAATAAAATGACATGGTGGTCATATATCGCTATACATATAAATATATATTTATATAATATAATGTTAGAATATATCAATTAATATTTGTTTGTTTTTATCATATTAATATTTAATTTTGAAATATATAACTGTATGTTTATATTTCATCCAGTTTGAGTTCAGTTAAAATCTTATTTATATGTCTAATCTAACTGAAAGGTCCTTTTAAAATTGTTTTGTTCTTTTAAAGGGTTGTGACATGTTGGATATGATGTAATATAATCTTAGACATACCCAGAAGTTCTGGGCGAGGAGGAGGAGTAGCAACAATCTTCCAGTCTGACTTACTGATTACTCCCAAAACAGTTAATACCTACAACTCTTTTGAACATTTAACCCTTCATTTCCCTGATCCAAATTTCAAAGCAAGAAAACCTCTTCTTTTTATAACTTTGTATCGTCCACCAGGTCCTTACTCTGAATTTTTAGATGAGTTTTCAGAGTTCCTTTCACACCAAGCCTGGTTCTGCTGGAGGTTTCTTCCTGTTCAAAGGGAGTTTTTCCTCTCCACTGTCGCTACAAGCATGCTTAGTGTGAGGGATTGCTGAAGAGTCAATGAGTCGATGCAATCAGCTGGTTTTCCTTAGATAGAAAACTTTGAATCCATCTGACTGGATGATCTGGGGAACTGGAAAGTGACCTGAGATGACATGATGTGAATTGGAGCTATAGAAATAAACTGGATAGAATTGAACTTATCTTTCTTGTGATTAAAATGAGATCAAAGGCACCTCCTATTCATTCGTTTGAAAAAACAATAAAATGACATGCCATTTATAGGAACCAATTAGCAATCAAGGAATACCTCTTCTCTCCAGGGATTACCTGGAGGGAAGAGCTTAATGCACATTAATAAAGTTTAAGGCTCCCATTCTTACAGTCTCTCATATCCGTAAAGCAGCCACATATGCCGCTCCCCCACTCCCGAGAGTTTTGGATGGCCATCACTTGCTGAGGTGGGTTAATCACTACTTTAGTTTCCATGATGAAGTCTAAAAGATGAAAAGAGTGAAGTTTGAACAGAGAAAAAAACTGACTTTGATGATAAAAATGATTTTGTATTGTCTAAGAATGTTTATTTTTTCCTAAAACAATGTTGTAGGGCCAACAAAATGATCAGTCACAGCTGATCAACCTTTTACCATAATTTGTTGCATGACTACATAAATCAGAAAAATAATCTTGTATTGATAAAATCAAACTGACAGGTACCGTCATGTTGTCATAATCTTGGCGCTGATGTCTGGTCTGATTACTCATTTAACTCACCTGCTGATCTCCACCCAGTTCTCATTACAGCTCATCTGTTCCACCTGCTCCATCTCTTTTTAACCAGCCTTCAGACCAGTCAGCAGGGCCAAATCATTTTCGAGGCAGTGGTGAGAAGTTTTCTAGCATTCCTGTATTTCTGATTGCCTGATCCTGACCCATTCGACCTTTGAGCATGCCTGTCGCCGTCTGATCTGTTTGACTGACCTGTCTTCTGACTCCTGACGGATCTATGTTTGCCGGTGTGCCGAGCCTGGAACTGTTACCTGACTTCTTCTGGATTCTCCTTTGGATCACTGATCTCCTGGCTCTGACAACTGCGTATGTCGCAGACACCGGCTTTGCCTTATCCTGCCTCCCGTCTGCTTGGGTCTGATCCCCGGCCTGTCCTCTGCCTACCCATACATCAGCATCTGGGACTCTATGTGGCACTCGCTGTGTTGCGTTGGCAGCCGACCGGCTAGAACAAACCTTATCCTCTGGGTTCGGACTAAACATAAGACCAGGTTAGTGACTCACACATTCATTATGATCCACTTCCAGAAATACGTGGTCACTAACCTGTTGTCTCCTCCTGCACAGGTTCCTGCCTTAACCAAAAATTTCACATCCTCCGTCACCGCCCCGCTCCTTCCCAGACCGCCTATGCTAAGCAAAGCCTACTGCCTCTGCTGTTCCTCCCGTCTTGCCTGCGATTACCTTGGAGCTCGAAGAGAACATGTGCGATAATATGTAATTCATAGAAGTAAAAGATGCGGTAATGAACGCTTTATTTAATAAAAAGTTACCATCAGTATCCATCAAACATGCAGTTTCTGCCCAAACGTTTTCTTTTCGCTGTGGGTCTTTGTAATAGGGATGTATAGGATCATACAAAATAGTTTGTTCTCTACATAAAAAAACTTAGCATGTTTTTATCCATGCCTGCGATAAGGCGTTTAGTTTGAAGTTGTCAGAATCGCATTTGGAGTTTGTGACTGGATTTGATGAAACTTTTTGTACATTTTTATAAAATAAATGATCAAGTAAAAAAAATTAATCAAGATGAGAAATCTGCTTCCTGGTATGTTGAAGTACCAAAAGTTTGCATCTAATTTAATTAAACAGTCTTAGTTTTGAGAATAAATAAGATTTATGCTCTTATTTGTTTTTACCGATCTGTCAATACCATATTTTCATTTGACAAACCGGGTCTTCTCAACGCTTTTTTTCCTTTTTGGTGCGATTGCAATATAGGATCTGGACCTGGCCTCCAACAGACAGGAGCGGAGCGAAAAATAGCTCAGCTTCGTGTTTTGACAGTTAAGGACGGAGAAAACATTCATGGACGGTGACTTGCGGACGAGTAGCAGTGGATGTGAAGCAGTTCTTATTGATTGACATGACTGCGCAAGTGCTCTGCACGACGTACGTGAGCGCGGCAGAACGGAGATGTGACAGAGGACGTGAAATCTGGGGGTCAGACGCTGTTCTCTTGGGCTCTGTTTCTAATGAACATTTTGATAATAACTGTTTGTTCGCCTCGGATACTGGATCCTATTGTTCTGAGCTTGACACATTGAACTGGTACATTATACAAAGTAGATATGATTAATTTTTTTTAGTCATAAATGTATTTGATTTGGTTAATAAGTACCTTAATACAAATCTAAAACAATTTGGAGGCGGATTTTTAAGCAAAAGAGCTGATTTCAGATTGAAAAAGTAACAAAACTAATAAAAATTAGTAAATTAGTTAACGATTATTTCAATAACCGATTGATCCCTTTAATCATTTAAAGTGTCTGTTTGTATGTATGTATGTGTATATATATATATATATATATTTATATATATATTGTATATACACATACATTCACACACAAAGAGAGAGAGAAATAACATATTTATTCTATAAATAAAAACGTACAATTAAATTTCACAGTGAAAAAGCTGGTGGCTCACCTCTGTGTTCGATGGAAGGGCTCTAAGAAGAAATGGCTCTATGAAAAGCTGTTGATAGGCACTAAAATAGAAGTCTCACACATCAACAAAAAGACTGGATATACTGGTTCTTCCTTTATGAGTCCTAATCTGTCTCAGTGAACATCAGTGTTGTTTATTGAAGTTTCATATTATGTACATTGAAGTTTAAAAACTAAAATTACAAAAAAAAAAATATATATATATATATATATATAGTATAGGAGACTGACTCAAGAGGGCAACAGAAGGCAAACAACAACAAAATCAGGAACACACCAACAGTAAGACGTGGGTCGGCTGGAGGAGACTGTGTTGTTCCTCTGCATAAAAGTACTTTTACTCAAAGAGCCTTTGCAGTTAAAGCATCTCAGGAATGGAACTCTGTCCCTCAGAACATCAGAGGACTTACAACATTCACTATTTTCAAAAAGCATCTAAAGAATTGGCTCATAACACATCAGTCATGTCAGCATTAGTTGAATGTCTATCAAAAACAAGCCATGCTGCCACTTGTGTCTCTGCTTTGTGTATGTATATATGTGTATGTGTATACGTGTGTATGTATGTATGTATGTATGTATGTATGTATATGAATATATGTATGTATATATATTTATATGTACATAGTTTAAATGTTTTTGTCATGATGGGATAGATGTCTAACTCATATGCAGAAACACACGGAGGAAGGAGAATGTTCAAAGGTTTATTGACAAACAGTGTAAATAAAATGTGAACAGGAACTGGGGTGGTCTAACTGGTCACGGTTGGATCTCCACTGCTAGAGGTGGAACTGATCAGCAGGTGGGGGGAACCCTGTGAGTCCAGAGGCTATTCGGCAGGCTGTGGGCTGAGGACTGAGGGCTAGGCTGAGACGGAGACTGAGTGCAGGCAGGCAGGTTTCTGGCTGAGTGAAGGGATTCAGATCTGCAGGGGGAGAACCTTGTGAGTCCAGAGGCTGGTCGACAGGCTGAGGACTGAGGTCTGAGGATGAGACTGAGACTGAGTGCTGGCAGGCAGAATCCAGGCATGGACAGAGGCAGAGACTCAGACTTAGTGCAGGTTGGCAGATTCCAAGCCATGGTTTCTCTCCAGGTTTTCCGATAGTCAGGCAGGAACATCATTACTGGCAAACACTCTGGCGCTGGAGTGTCAGTCTCCTCCTCCTTAAGTAGGAGTCTTCTCGATGAGCAGATGGAAGACAGGTGTTGCAGGTGAGCACAGGCCCTCAGGAAGGGATCCTCGGCGCCCTCTGTAGTTCAGCGAACACTTATTCTGTATTTTTAAATCAGTTATAGCTGTTTTGATTTATTTTTATATTTGTATTTTACATTGTAGAATGCTTACTGTTGTGTTTTTTTAGGAAGACAATTTTAAGATATGTCCAGGGACAACAGATGAAAAATAGCCTTTTGGCTAATTATGATGCATTTGCAGGAATGCTTTTTAATGTACACTGTCCCTGTCAAATAAATTAATTAATTAAACATACCTAAGCACTCAGATACAACCAAAAATAACTACCTGTACAATAAAACAAAATGGAAACAGAACCAATGAAAACTCAAAGATAAAACTTCAACAGAACCAAAACCATGACAGCGTAAATGTCTGAGTGACAACAGTTTATGCTCTTATCTTTCACAAGATGCCATAATAAAGTGGTGAACGTTATTTTCTATTTTACTAGATTTAGTGAGGTTCGGTTGTGCCTTGCACGGTCCACTTCAGCTAGGTTACATGAATGCAGCTCTCCTGCATTTTCCTACTTTGTTTCATCTCATTTACAGCCGGCACCTCAGAAATCTCATAGGGGAAAGACTCATTTTTAAAGATGCCTTCTGTGACTCATGTGGCCCAGATGGAGAGTTAAACCTACCTTTATGGATCCAAGTGTGATCATAAAAAAAGATGTGATGAAACAGGAAGCGATTCTGGATGGATGGATGGAAGGTTAAAAAAATGTAAAAAAGAAAATGGGAATAGATAAGAATCAAAAAATGGGAAAAGCAGAAAAAGCAGAGCATTCAGGCACAGAACAATGAAGTGATGAATAATCTATAAATTCCACAGAAAACTAAATGTATCATGATCTGCCCTGATTGCTGACCTTAATTGTTTACTTAATTCACCTGTCTAACCCTGCCCATTTCCTAATCATCACTCATCCTATCAACCTGCACCTTCATATACGGTTAAGCCCAGCTATCGGGGCCAGATTATTATATTAATGTTTATAGATGCTGGAGATCGGCCTGTTTTCCAGTGTAGTCCTGTTTCTCTGACCGTGACTGAGTGGATGTGCTCTCTTCATCCTCTGACATGGGAGCTGGCTCGGAGCTTGTCTGCCTGGCTGTGTGTTTCCTGGACGGGGCCGCCTTTTACAGCTGCTTTTTGTGTCTCTGCTTCTGTCTCCTTGAACCCCAGTCGGCCTCAGCAGATGGCCGCTCACACTGAGCCTGGTTCTGCTGGAGGTTTCTTCCTGTTAAAAGGGAGTTTTTCCTCTCCACTGTCACTACAAGCATGCTTAGTGTGAGGGATTGTATTCGAGTCAATGAGTCAATGCAATCAATGTTGGGATCCGGAGATCTGCCACCTTTCTCCAGCAGAGAGCGCCCCTGGGTCTCCTGAGCTGAAGCTACCAGCACACCTGCGGCTGAACTTCCCTTCAGTGCCAGAGTGTTAGACCAGTTATGGTTAGCAAGCCTGAGCCGAACCTGCATACCAGAATCTCTGATTACTCTGAGGAGTAAACTTGATCCTAACCAGTCTTTGTCTCCTCTGCTTCCTAGAAAGACCTGATCGAAACCTGGAAGCTCTGGAGGAGCTCATTGCCAGAAATCTGCCTGCCTGCTCTGTGAAGCCAAAAACCTGAAGAACCACTGTCTAAATCTACAAGCCAGTTCTCAGGAGAGAATTTGGAGAACAACTCAAGGTCGGAACCTCACTAGTCTGAAACCAAGCCCTGCCGCTGCTGAGCCCTCTGCTGAACCCTCAGTCTCTGGACCCTTCTGGTTCCCTCTCTCGCTCAGTCTGAACCACCATCAGGTACAGATCAGTCCCAAGTTCTATCAAGACTCACCTGCTTCTTGGCTAACCAAACTGTCCCTCTCTACAGAGAACCCTGTGATACCAGTCCGGGACCCGTTCCAGCATCAGTTCAAATTAACTTTTGTGTGCTTTATTCAATAAACAGCTGAAAAAGTTTACTCAGTCTACGTGGTGTTTTGCATTTGGGTTAAATCAGTTAGACCCGTCATGACAATCAGCTGGTTTTCTTTAGATAGAAAAATTTTTATCAATTTGACTGTATGATCTGGTTGTTGTTCTGAATTTGGTGCTATATAAATAAACTGAATAGAATTGAATTTATGTATTTATGTTTGTTATTTTTAGTTTGAGGGATTCCTACATTCTGGTTCCCGTCCAGAGGCCAGTGGGTTGAGAGGGTTTTGGTGTTAATGCATCTCTTGGCATCTTCTCTACTGTTAATCACTCAATCATCCAGACAGTGTCTTGCCCACCACCAAAATCAAATAATTTAGAAAAGAGTCCTAAAGGATTAAATCATGATAATCTAATTAAAATTAAAATAAGTCAAATTTTGGAAAACGTTAAAACTAATAAATGTGTATTTAAAATAAGATCTCTTCAAAAACTCTGTTAATGACTTGATTTGTGATAATCACATTGATTTATTTTGCCTTAGAGAAACTTGGCTGCAGCAAGAGGATTATGTGAGCATAAACAAGACAACTCTTTCTAGTTATTCATATTTCCATACACCCAGACATTCTAGGCGTGGAGGAGGAGTAAAAACAATCTCACAGTCTGAATAACTGATTGCTCCAAACTCAGTTAATAATAACAGTTCTTTTGAAGATTAATCCATAGTTTCCCTCATATAAATCGCAAAGCAAAAAAAAACTCTTATATTTGTAACTTTATGTCTTCCACCAGGTCCTTACTCTGAATTTGTTCATGATGCAGTTATAAATTTTAAAGAATCTGTTTCACTTTCTCTCTCCTCTGTGTCACTGAACAGCACTGCAAAGCAGTGTTAATTTCATCAATCAGAACGATGACGAAAATATTTTAACTGCCCTTTTTCCCATGACGAGACGATGACTTCCAAAAATTGTTTCCAGAAAATAAAAATCTGACGAGAATAAAAAATTATTTTTGTCAAGGAGACTAAGACCAGACAAAATTTACAAGCCGTGGAAGAATGAACAGTAAAAAAGGTAATTGTTAGTAATTTGTAATTGTTAATATACACTCACCGGCCACTTTATTAGGTACCCCATGCTAGTAACGGGTTGGACCCCCTTTTGCCTTCAGAACTGCCTCAATTCTTGGTGGCATAGATTCAACAAGGTGCTGGAAGCATTCCTCAGGGAGTTTGGTCCATATTGACATGATGGCATCACACAGTTGCTGCAGATTTGTCGGCTGCACATCCATGATGCGAATCTCCCGTTCCACCACATCCCAAAGATGCTCTATTGGATTGAGATCTGGTGACTGTGGAGGCCATTTGAGTACAGTGAACTCATTGTCATGTTCAAGAAACCAGTCTGAGATGATTCCAGCTTTATGACATGGCGCATTATCCTGCTGAAAGTAGCCATCAGAAGTTGGGTACATTGTGGTCATAAAGGGATGGACATGGTCGGCAACAATACTCAGGTAGGCTGTGGCGTTGCAACGATGCTCAATTGGTACCAAGGGGCCCAAAGAGTGCCAAGAAAATATTCCCCACACCATGACACCACCACTACCAGCCTGAACCGTTGATACAAGGCAGGATGGATCCATGCTTTCATGTTGTAGACGCCAAATTCTGACCCTACCATCCGAATGTCGCAGCAGAAATCGAGACTCATCAGACCAGGCAACGTTTTTCCAATCTTCTATTGTCCAATTTCCATGAGCTTGTGCAAATTGTAGCCTCAGTTTCCTGTTCTTAGCTGAAAGGAGTGGCACCCGGTGTGGTCTTCTGCTGCTGTAGCCCATCTGCCTCAAAGTTCGACGTACTGTGCGTTCAGAGATGCTC